CTGTTATTGTCCCCGTAACAAAGCTAATTACTTGTGCAACTGACCTTATGTCACAGAGGGACTAGTGTTACAATATTTCATCCTGGCACACTCAATTTGTTACCACTAAACACAAACATGCATTCGTGGAACCCACCTCACTCTGACCGTACTCAGAATGATACGAAATCAGCGAGAGGCGAGGGAGGTGTTTAGGGGTAGGAAGCATTCACATGACTCAAACAGTGATGTGTTGTTAGCTTGTTTGTTACAATGTGCACGCAACAGTACAGTGTTTACACCCTATCGGAGCGTACGTCGGGAGGCTTCTGTTAAAATACTATACTCAAAGCAACATGTGTCCCATAGTGATAGTGTGTATCAAAATTCACTGGGACTCATTTGTTCTTCCAACGTGGGGGGCACACAGCCTCCACCCATCGCATCATAAACATTCCTTCACTTTAACACCGGTTGACATGGGGAAAATGCAGTGCTTCCATTAACATCCGGTCATAACCAAAAACTTCCACCTGACGAGTCATACTCATAAGTTACCACTCAATACAACGACCAGATCGCTTCTGACATTCAAAATGTGACTTTTTATTTTCCTTTTCTTGTAGCACGGGGGGGGGGGGCACAAGGATTAACTGTTCACAAGGATTAAACTGTTCACAGATGGGGGCACAACAGGGGGCACAAAGCCTCAGCTTGTTATGATGGCATTCCTTTCGACATCTGTGGAGCGTCATTACTATCTCTTCTATTGCTCGTCTGTAAGCAGGGGTTACTCATGAAAACAAACCTATCATTCCCTGTTGGTCTCTTGACAACGAATTTTACTGTCATGTCAACGTTGTTACAAAAAGAACATAATAATAGACTAAACTTACACCCCAAGCACCACAGAAATGGATCACCCCCGGTAGAGGCCCGGCACAGAGATGGTAACTTCACACACATGTTCTAATCTCCTCAGCTACGCGAAACAAATTTTTTCTCAAACCATCTGTTCAACATACAACGTAAGTTGTCTGTGTTTCTCGCCTGTCTAAGATGTCCGGTGACACATTTTGTAAAACAACAATGGAACAAAATTATAACCAGAAAACTAGTGCAGCAGTCAAAACCAAAAATCAACACCCTCAATCATAACAGTTGGGGGCCCAGGCTGAGGGGAAGTTTGACAAACAAATTCACTCTTGGCTAACCATCTTGGCATACTTCTTCGTTTCACGATACAGCTTGTACCACATACTAGTATTAAAAAATAGGTCAACTGGAATAAACACAGTACCTCGCACGGACACAGGGAAGGTAGCTGACTGTCGAGAAAACGCTTTGTAGGTTCGGCCCTGTTTTTTGGCGGGAAACCACATACACACACATCCAGCATTCTAAGTCTCCTCTCCCCAAACATTCCCGCACACGGAGGTTATGTCCTATTACACAAACTCCAAAGGTGTTCGTCGTGTGGTCGGGATGAGTTCTCTGGGCCTAGCCATGCTCTTGCTGTCCTTCCTGAGGAGACATCCGCGCATTATACTATACTTTGGCAGGAGCTGCCATATGGGTGACCTGCTGGAACGGTGGCTACACAGCAACTGGCATGTGTGGGTGATTGATATCTTCCCCCTCCCATAGTGCCTAGCGGCTCGGGATAGTCTTAACAGGAACCAAGCCTTCCTCAAAATCATGAAATGATGGCCGTACCATGCAAACAATAACCCTTACAGCAACCACCGTCGCCATGGCAATGTTTGTTTTCATTGCCAGTCTTGTTCTCTTTTTTGATACCACAGTCTAAAGCTTGATCACTAGCAATGGCGAGGGCTGAAACAACGCGAGATTTGGTGGTGTTTGACGAGATCCAGAAGAGGTACCGTCCTGATGAGAGTATATTCCTGGTGTACACACTGCACCATGACTACACGCCGAGTAAACGGGACTGGGTCGGACTCTTCAAGTAGGTCAAACTATTTCTGTCCGTGACAGAACTCTGAGCCCTCCAACTGTCTAAATGATGAATTCCACGTGGTCATCTGTCATAGGTTAATGGGGTGTTATGTAGCCAGTAACAAACATCGGGCATCTTATATGATCACTTACCAATCAATTGTGTCGTTTTCAAGACGACGATCATGAAAAAGTAGAGATAGTAGGTTTAATAAGTATATCGTACACGTAAAACTTCATGTTAGCATATAGTTTTATATCACCACATTTTTATTTTCAATGTATGGTTGCAATTAGCCCTCTATTATAAAGTATTTAACCGTGGCTTGCTCAACACTTTGTATGGCCAGTTAACCACATTGATATTGATGATGTCATTGATATTGGTTTATTCGTAGGGTCGGCTGGAAAGCCTTCCACGAGTACATAGCCTTCGAGTGGGCTCCCAAACAGCCCAAACGAGAGAAGTTCCCTCTAGTGCGGAGTGTACACTTCCTGTCGAGTGGCATGGCCCTGCCCCCTAGCGGCTCACAGAAGTATAGCTTCCTGTATGTCTCCCGCAAAAAAGGCGTGGTGGGAAGTTCTACTACCTTTAAAATCAGGTATGTGTTAGGGTTTGATTTGATTTATTAGACTGTATAAGACATATACATATACAGCCAGGGTTAGGTTAGGTTAGTGTTAGGGTTAGGTCAAGCATGTTTATCATAATGGATTTATTAGTTTATTTTGCTATAATTTTGTTTTTAACTATGGAATGGTTACTTATTTACGATTTGTTGATATTTTCTCTTCATTTGCCTTGATTTTCATTGAAGTAATTCAGTTAATCAGTTTAATTGTGATTGTTTTGTTATGTTTAAGGAGAAGGCCTTGTACAAGCCTTTAAGGCTTCATCTTCTGCTGCACTGTGTTTTTGATTTAATTTACTTCACCTTGTATATTGTTTTTTGTGCGAAATAAATAATAAATAAGAAAATAAAATAAAACTAGAGTTCGACAATCTCATACCTCCATGACATGTTTAGTGCTTTCGTGAAGCTTATGCATAGTGATGATCACATAAATGGCTTACATTTACAATCCTGCTCATTAGCAAAATTTTTATACAAATTATTCACATAGCCCCTACCTAGTAACATACAACACACTGGTGAAATCCTTACCATTTAACATGGACAACGTATGATATTGTTGGTTATATGCAAGTACGACCTCTGACATACCTTTGCCAACTCATGTTTGCCATCCAAGCTGACGAATTATACATTTTTACTGCCAATATGCAAATTATAAGAGGCCATTTGCATATATTATATCATTTGATCATATTCTCCGCCCAATGACAGGGTTATCTTAAGAAATAAGGCTATTCTTGCGTTT